CATTTAATACTAAATCACTGTTTCGTAGAGGTTCATCACTTTTATTAGCATTATCATCTAATACTATTATATCATTGTTTTTTTGTAGTTTTTCCCTTTTTTTAGCATCATCTAATACTTGTGCTGGTTCTTCACATTTATTTTCATTATCTATAGAAGCTGTATCATTTATGGGAATTTGAATTTTATTTTCGATGATAACTTCTTCACAGTTTGCTAATTCTCTATAGTCATATTCACCTAATAACATAAAATCATTACTTTGAAGTTTTTTACTACTTTTACTGTCATTACCTTTTCCTGAAGCAGGAGCAACATTGGGTTCTTTTTTAGATGTACTTTCCAAAGTTTTATGAGTTGATATCAGCTTACATGTGTCGTCTTCGTCTAATATTACTACGTCGTTATCCTCAACGTCAACGTTTTTATGACTTTCAGACACAATGGAAATATTAGTTATCTCATTTCCACTATCAGCTGTACTAGAACTTTCAACTTTAGGGCTTTCTCTAGCTACATTTTCATCTACTTCTTGAGTAGTTGTAACTAATACATCTTCGTTTCTGTCTAATGCAATCAACTCATTATCTTTAGCACCTTTATCAAGTGCATTATAGTCATCCTCACAAGAAACAGTACTTGATATTTCTTGAGAACTAACTACTGGAGAATTTGCCAATCTTGTGTTAACTTCAGTTTGACTAACTGGTTCATTTTCTAAAACTGTAGCTTTGATATTGGGAACTGGTTCTTCTATTGTCCTATTATCATTACTATTTTGTAACAATTCTGGTTCATTTTGATTACTAATAACTTGTTGTATATTAGAGTTTTGTTTCTGTAAATCAGGACCAGAACTTATACTTTCTTTGACATCAACTGCATCAGTTGTCCCTGCAAGTGTGTTTACGTCATCAATATCTATTTCTATGAATACATCTGGTTTAGAAATAGCTTCATCACATTTTGAAGACACATCAGCGATACGTTGTGACGGTAATTCATCTAAGTTAATTATAGGCACATCGAAACCTTCAGAGTCGTCAGATACAACAATATTTTCGGTTTCATTCAGTTTGTTTTTCTTCTTTGGGGGTGCAGTGGCCATATTTTGCTTTAGCTTAGCCATTTTTTTCTTTCGCTTCCTAATACAGTCTTTTGCAATTGTTCTATCTGAAATAAGTATAATTAAGAAATTAATTCCTTCTATTGTCAAAGAATAGGTATAAATTTATTTATATAACTTAGATTATTATGCAGTCACTTCTAAATTAAGATATTAATAAAACTTTTACATCATCAACTAAAAACACATTGTTAACAAGCATTAAAGTGCTTTAATTAAAAAAAAAAGGCATATTGCATAAATTATATAGTGGGCAAAACCAACCTCTGACCATTTTTCGGTACAGTTTCGTTGAATTTTTACTCATTTCACAACACAACTCTTTGATGTAGAAAAATTTAAAGTTAGGATCAGATTCAATCTTACAGATGGCCTTAGTTACAAGTTTATTTAACATTGGAGATCTTTTAAACACATCACTTGAGCCATAGTATGCTGGAATCAGGGATTTTTTTATAACTCTGTTCATTCTCTCGCTATGTTCTATGTCCAGGCATTTCTCAATGAATTCCCCCAGCAGCCTACAATCTTTCATTATTTGATCATAGGATTCTGCTTCATTGACGAATACAACCTCATCACTACTTTCTTTTATTTCCACAATGTCGCTGTCGCTCGACTCATCAGAAAGATATATTGAATCCATAGCTACTGTGGCCTGAAAAGAAACAAAACTTAATAAAAGTAAATTGAGTCGACGTGGTCGAAACGAAGTTCATGGTAAGGTATTCCTTGATTTGAATACAATAAGTCCTACGTTATAATAAATGGAGTATTCGGAGACAACTAATAATAAATAAAATAGGCAGCATTCTTATTTCTTACCTTTTACTGTATTATCAGGCTAAACAAAATTTATAAAATCACCTGGTGTTACAACCTGTTGTGGTCAACAACAAACCATCGCAAGGTTTTACTGCATTATAACCTATGGCTATAGGGTTAAAGCAATTAATAAAAGAGGTCTACGTTTATATCACTACTTATTTCAGTGATTTTAAATTAATTTATTGTATACCAAACCACAAAATGAAATTGTTCAAAACTACAAATGTGACTTTTGTTTGACACTGACACTACTGACAGACTGACTGACAGTACCTACTTATAGTGATGTAGGTAACATATTTCAATTATTTGTTATAATCGACTATTGATTATTCACTGATTATATTTTAATTTAATACTCTTGGACTCCAGTGGACTCCTGGTAATTCTGCAAAAAAATGCTTCATTACTAGTACGCAAATAGAAGCACCCTAATGTATGTAGTAGCACAGGTGTAGCAAATAGAAAATCTTTGAGGACTAATAAATACGATTACAGTACCTATGTGTTATTGAAGGAATGAGAAGGAAATTATGAACAAAAGATAGTGTCTTTCACGTAGTGACTAAAATAATTTCTTCTTTTGCAAATAAATTATAATTGACGAAAAAAACCCCAGTGGCGGCGTAGCATGGGTTGGTACCCGGGGCGATCACCCCCCCCGTCATAAGTCCTAAGGCACCCCCAGGTACCCCCCGGGATTTTGGGGTTACCTACCGATTCGAATATTGAAAGATCGCAATCGCACGCACCCCTCCCGTATCATGACATAGACCGCAGATTTGCCATGCAGATGCGCCATTGAGTACTAATCAGCGCGACTTGTGTCACCCCCTGATGCTTGGCACCCGGGGCGGACCGCCCCCACCGCCCCCCCCTTACGCCGCTACTGAAAAACCCTATGGCAAAACCCTCCACTATAGTGGAGGAGGCTCATAGTCCAGCAGTGGACTGTAAAGGGCTGTTGATGATGATGATGATGATGACGAAAAAAATATTACACCATTTTTAAGTAGATTTTGAATGAATGCGCCCCTCATAGCGCAGCGTAGGTATAAGCCTTGTACACTGGTGCATAACAGGGTCGCAAAATCGCATCAAAATCGTCATAATTAATTTTATAATCATCATCATTATGCCATTCATAATAATTAAAATCGTCGAGAAATCGCGCTATTGGGTATAGTAGGTGGTATAGATAGGCTTTGAGAGATACCTAAACGGAAACGGATGTGATCGACGCTATATTTTAATTTTATTTACTGCTTTGTATATCTGGAAATATAAAATAATAAATCATACTCGTATCCTACTAATATTATAAATGCGAAAGTTTGGAAATCTAGATGGATGTTTGTTACTCTTTCACACAAAAAATACTGAACGGATTTTGATGAAACTTTACAGTATTATTCTTTATAACGCAGAATAACATATAGGCTTTAATTTATATATAATCTGTGACAAACTAAAGGTCACACGGGTGAAGCCGCGGGCAAAAGCTAGTAGATTATATTTCCAAACAAGCATCTAAGTAATAGGGATGTTTCCTGGTTAAAAAAGCAAGAGTTTTAATTAGTTCGTCAGTTAGCTTATCAAAAACTACTCGACACGTACCCTGCCGTCCGATCACTATAACGCCGTTAAGTGCAAAAACCACTTTCGGAGAAAAACGAGTTTAAAGATCACGAATTAAAAAAAAATCGCTGTTTCAAAAGTAAAAGAGTAATTTGTAATTTAAATATATCATTTTAAAGGTATTTTTAAGAGCTACAATTGACACAAACTCTCACGACGCTACGTATTATAGATTTTGAAATATTTTAATTTATACATTTTAACTCAGTATTATTGAAATAATATCTCAAAATATACACAACTAAAACGCCGTTATGGCTACCTTAACGGCGTTTAAGTTTTGGATCTTGAATAACTTTGATACATTTGTAAAATGAGTTTCTAACTAATAATTCTACTAAACTTTAATGCCGTTAAATAGTTTAACGACGTTTTAGCTCGGTAAAACTATTATTTTTTAACGTGAAAATACTTGCCTTAAATGCCGCTAATGTTAGCTAACGTCATTTAAGTCTAGTATTAACACATAAATTACGAAACTATTGGTATGCCTGTTTGATTCGTTTTGATTACAAGACTAAAATGCAGTTAAAAACAAAACTTTTCACCATAACGGCATTTAAGCTAAGTACTAGCTACTTAATAGTTCAGGAAATAAAGAAAATTGCATTTATGTCAAAAATAACAAAACCTGTTTTAGTGTTGAAAATTTATATTGATTTAAAAAAAATCAAGTCGATGGGTGCCTGGAATAAAGCCGCAATAGCCATAGCAGCAGTTTTCCGATTAAGCGATTTTCGTAATCTGGGGGTCCCTATACACCTTGTGATTTTTTTTCAGAATTTTATCTTTGAAACTGGCTGATTTACCAAAAGCACTATGGATATTGAATCGTTATTCCCGGAAATTTGTTTACCAGAATAATCGTGGCATGTTCAATGTTAAAAGTTTTATTTCAAACTTCTACAAGTAACGGCCATTGCGGCTTTGTTCCCCGAAACAAACTATGTGTACCAAGTCACAATAAACATTACCTACCTACTTGTACAATTTCTTTAAACTTTCTTAAGTAATAATACTTCATGATGTTCTTCTATGCAATAAAAATATGTTGATTGGATTTACATTAAGCAAACCTACCTGACAACTACCTACTGGAACACAGTAATGCTGTCAACTGTGCTGTCAACATTATTGTTATGGCGACAGACTTATGAAGATAAAGGGGACTTAGGAAGAGAAGAAGGAGGGATATTTGGTTGATGTTCATTAAAGCTTATTTATAATAACAATATGNTTAAATGTTTGTGGAAGTCCAAGGATGGTTCTTACGGAAAAAAATATTAAGAAAATCTCTACGCTAAGGCGGTACGAAGTTCGCCGGGTCAGCTAGTTATACATAATAATATGAATCAACTAAAGCATGTTTTTGTTATCAAGACTCCATATTTCAAGTTCTTCATAGGAAGTTTGAATTAATATATTTATTTGAATTATGTTTTTGAGATCCTAACACAGGCAATAATTATATTAAAAAGAGGCTCCAGTATGTGCAATGCTATGTAACCGTTTTAACCAAACTTTTTTAAAATACAGTTGTTTTTTGCAGACCCTTGATAGGGACCTTCTTTGCAGCATCAGAGCGTACATCAGTACCCATGGCATAGACTTGTACCGGTACCCTAGTACCGACATAGTTCAAAGCATACTGCAGCACGAGTCGACTGGCATTCTTTACACAAAGGCCTGGGATTTGGCTCGGCAAAGCGTTGCGAAGAAGGAACTGTACTTCGAATTCTTGTAAGTAAATAGATAACATTTTATTGCACACAACATAAAACAACAAAAGAAAGGAATTAAGAAGAAAGGTGTGAAGAGCGATCTCTTCCAGATAATCTATAAGACAGTTGAGTAATGTCGAATTACTGATACTAGCTTTTTGATTAGATAAAAAAAAATGTTGTATCCTAGATTTGTATTGCTTGAAAATTTATCTTGAATCTACCTCAAAATTAATCTGCAGCTCATAACATATAAATAGGTAAACAAATCAACACGAAACCTATTTTCTCAGTCCCCTAGGATAAGGGGTACCTATATTCATTAGTATCATTACGCTAACACAGTTCACTGAGCAGGGTATGATAACTCACTCCTTCAAAATGTGTTTCCGAAAAGCCTAAAATACTTATGGTGTGAGAGGAATTTTATTCTTAATACTAAATTCTTAATTGAGTTTACTCATTGAGTGTATGCCGGGTATGCAACTCAATGCATTTTTACCGCCGAAAAAGAAAATTTGTTGCGCCAGAGCAGTTACTAAGTTGACTCAAGAAAATTTCCCGAGTTACGTGTCATACTTATACAGTAGCGTGCTCAGAGTGTGGTTTTACAAGCATTTTGTATGACATCTTGAGGGTATCTTACTTACACGCAACTTAACAATGTAAATTACCGTAAACCGGTAAGAACTTACCTGTAATCAAGAAAATGACACATCAAAATATAAAATAAATATTGTTGGAAAACCGTGGGAACTTGTGGGTATTGTTACGGTGATATGTATCCCAACTAATATTATAAATGCGAAAGTAACTCTGTCTGTCTGTCTGTCTGTCTGTCTGTCTGTCTGTCTGTCTGTTACGCTTTCCCGCTTAAACCTCGCAACCGATTTTGATGAAATTTGGCATAGAGATAGTTTGAGTCCCGGGAAAGAACATAGGATAGTTTTTATCCCGGTTTTTGAAACAGGGACGCGCGCGATAAAGTTTTTCTGTGACAGACAAAATTCCACGCGGGCGAAGCCGCGGACGGAAAGCTAGTATCATCTAATTGTTGTCTGCAAATCAAATAAAGTAAAAAAAAACCCTGACTTTTAAAAGTTATCTTCAGCCATGTATAACACTTACACAAGTATTAGGTACGGTTTTTCTTATATTTAAACGAAATGTAATTTTTTATTCAGCGACTCAAAACAACATCAAGAAAATGATACAACACTAAAACTAAATAAAGTAGGTATTGTGCGTGTTACCGGAACGGTATCCACTCAACATCATGCCGAGGTGTAGTAAAGCAATACTTACTTCTATGTTAATATCGTAGTACTCGTAGTAAATATTAATATCACATAAATATGCATTTGATTTTAATCTACGATTATTTTTTCAGGCATGAACAAGATGTCGAAGAAATAAAACACTCTACCATTGACGTGAAAGAAAATATCTCAGCTGTGTGCTTTCTCGGCGACTATGTACTAGTTGGTACCTTTGCTGGGCTTGTAAAGGTAAGGATACACTATAATTTGAAAGTTTAATGTTAGAAATAAATAATTAATTGTAACACACTGATTGATTCACTCTCACTTTTGATATACATTTTTTGTTGTGGAAATTGACTTAATTTGTGTAATTATGTCACCTACACTTCATTTATATGTTATTAGTTTGCTTCAAACAAACTAAAAATAAATAAAAAATAAAAACTGCAGTTCCATCATCATCATGATGGCAAACCTTACAAACTCAAAATGCTACTGCGCGATAATCTTTGTACTCCTGCAGGCAGCTTTATACATAATTATACGAAATATTTTTATTGCGTCAGATTATTCGTAAATAATAATTTAGTAATCATTTTTAATAAGCGTTCAATATCTTTTTACATTTAAATTTAACTTGACTTGCTTGTTTACTTTAAAATCGATTCTATTACCGTCTTGTTTGAAGCAAACTATCAGTGTTAGTTTTAACAAACACCGTACTGACTTGTTGTGCACCACACTTGCAGTTCTTCCATATACCGACTAACAAACTAAAGAAAGAGCTGAACGGATCAGAGTATGGTATCAAATGGATTGGTGCATGCCCCATGAATCCGCCGCAAGTGGCGGCGCTGTCTTTTGACGGCGTCATCAAGATGTGGTTCATTGATGACGTCGAGAGGGAGGAGACTGATGACGTCATTGATGAAGGTTTGTGCACTTACAGATAGACTATTCTTCACTTCGTATTTTAAGTTTGATTATTATGCTGAGTTTCTTTTACGTCCTGTTGTCCGACTGTGTCAAAATAATATGAGAAACTACTTTTGATGTTTTCTTTAATGGATGAAATATTAATGAAGTGTACATTTTCTGAACATGTCCAATAAGTACATACAACGTGTCCCAAAATTCAAGGATAAGCCGGCGCCGCAGGATGGACATAGTCATGACAACTTTAGGAAAAATAAGAAAAAAAATCTATCTCAATTATTTTTTAAGTTACATAATAAATTATGAAATTCGTCGAAAATTGACACCCCGTATGATATTTTACATTACCACGACTACAATTTTTCAAATACTTCTGTTTTTTTGTTTGTATTGGCAACTTAAGTAGTGCTGCTGTCCACTCCAATTCTTAAAAACCCCAGAATCCTTGAAGTTTTTACACAAAAGTTAATCAAAATATGATATTTCCTTAAAATTTTAAACGATTTTTACTTTCACTCCATTTTGACTCGTCGTTTTGTAAAATAACAGTATGAACACTACCGCGGCAAGTTTATTNGACATAACCCGCAGAATTGCTAAAATCAAGTGGCAGAGCTGAATATGGCCGATGGGGTAGAAAAATTCTCGAGTGGCGACCACGAGCCTGAAGACGTAGATTGGGCAGGCAGGCCCCTTACTAGATGGATCGACGATCTGGTAAAGGTCAGAAGAGGTGCCTGGATGTGGGCGGCGCAGGACCGATCGTTGTGGAAATCCTTGAAGAGACCTTTGTCCAGCCGTTGAACGACATTTGCCTGAAACAAACGAACGTTATGTCTTCGTCTAACATAGAAGATAAAATTAAAACTAAATTTATTTTGTTGAGAACGCTAGGAATATTTCCGGGAGCGTTATCAGCGGCACATCAATAACTCTGACTGAGCTGTGTGATCGACGCACGCAACGACGCTTAGAACACTTCATTCAACTTTTTGAACATAGCCGCATTATAGTTTAGGAATGTAGGTTAACGGCATTTAAGTCTTGTAAAAATGTATAAAACACATAGATTGTTACATTTGGTTAGCCTTAATGGTGAATTTACTAGTGCAATTTTAATAAATAAATTCATGTAATACAAAGCTATAATGCCGTTATTGGACCTTTGTTGCGTTTAAGTCTAATAATTTTACTTAACGGCGTTTTAGTCTTGAGGAGTCTATTAAAGCTTTGCAAAGAGCAGCTTAGCAATATTGTCGTTAAAGTACCTTAACGGCTGTATTGATTAGAAATTGTAAATAACGGCAATAAAGCTTTGTAATTTTTCTTAAATTTTTAATTCTAATAACAATTAAAGACGCTTAACCGCGTTTAAGCTAAGAAATTTAATGTAACTGCATTTTAGTTATGTAATCTTGCAGAGGCGAAGCAGTTAGCGGCTTTCTTATTTTTTTTATCTCAGGAACTAAATAAGATATAAAAATTTCGATAATAGTGCTAGATTAAGCATTTTTTTCTGATTCGGATGGTATTCAAAAGTCAAAATTGACCAATTGTGGGTTAACGGCATTATAGTGATTGGACGGCAGTACCTATTTTTCACTTTTTAAAACAATGAAAGTGTAAAGAAATAAAGCGTGCCAAAGTTCTAAAGAAAAGGCCCGTGACGTCAGTGAGTGCGTAAAAGTACAGCACTTTGTGACGTCGCGCGGAACTTCAACGCACTATAACTTTGTAATTATTTGTTTGATTGACAATTAAAAATATACGTGTCCAATATTTTTTTATATTAAATTGACGGACTAAAATTTTTTTTTTTTAGGAAACTGGCATATTATGTATTTAATAAAAATCAAACACCATTGTTACAGATAAATATTTATTTATTTAGAGAGGCCAATTTAAAATAATAGTTATTATGAAATTAATTGCAACATTAATAAAACATTGGCTCGTTGCTGTTATAACTAATATTACCTACTAAATTTTTATAAGTGTTCTCTTACTTAATCCTTAATTTACAAATACAAGATTATCTAATTTACAATAAAAGAATACTAAATGTAAGCAATAAAAATGCAATCGCTGATGAGATGGACAACATGGGCGAAATAATCAAGAAATCATAATAAAAAATGAGATTACAGTAAAATTTTGACAAAGGTGACCTAGATTTTTATATTACAATTTACACAATTTTAATGTATCCTTGAAGAAAATACAGAAATATAATGGACTATATTTCAAAGCACCACTGTGGTAGCATTGACACTTATGCTAAAATAATTTTACAATCTTCAATAGAATTTGCTATGTCTAATTCTTTTACATAGTCATCATAAGTTTTCGAAGTTTTCTATATACTAATCACAAGCATATAAAATTCTGGGAGAAATGGAAATACAGTAGGCCTGTCTGTTTAGTTCCTATGATATAGGATGTTCTGAACAAATATTTATGCATATGGTCGCATTTTATACGAAATAGGGAGTTGTAATTTTAATCACATAGCAGTAAGGCTGGTTTTAGTGTCACGCGGACCGTCCGGTGCAGACCTGCTCCGCACGGCCAATCTGTATGAACTTCTAGGGAGCGTTTTAGAGTAATGCGGTCCGGAGGAACCGCTCCGCTCCCTAGCAGTTCATACAGATCGGCTGTGCGAAGCGATCCGCACTGACAGTCCGCGTGACACTAAAACCAGCCTAAACGTTGCACTTTCATTTTTTTTGTTGATTTCTGGGTAAATAAATGACCAAAAAGATATGAATTTAGTATTGCCAGTACATATTAACTTTGGGGTCTGGCTGGAATCATTGTGTAAATCACACAAACTTGTATACTTGTTTTACATAGTCAGTTATGCAGTTCGTTGGTACAATGAATATGCTTGTGATGTTGAAGAAGTTGTTTCTAGAAATTCTATATTGCCCGAGTTTATCCATTTCTTTTCTCCCACCTGAAATAGATATCAAACATTATAAAAAGTTAATGATAATAAACATTTTGCTTAAAACGTTTGGAGGCGCTCTCGGATTATCACATCTGACTGCCGAATTCGAAAAGACACTACTAATATCATCACACACTTTATGAGATGACTATGGTATTATTATTTAATGGTAGTAAGATCTTAAATATAACGTTATCATAGTATAATAAATCCAATTACAATGTTGGTTAACCGTGTCAAGTATTAGAGCTGTGGTATTATTAGCCCCCACTGCACTTGTTAGTTGTGGCACGCGACGTGGCGTCGCTTATTCTATTAACTCCTAAATCTGTGAGTCGTGACGCGCGACCTGGAATCATCATCATCATCATTATCTCAGCCATAGGACATCCATTCCATTGCTGAACATAGGCCTGCCCCAATGCTTTCCATGCTGCCCGGTTGGTAGCGGCCTGAGTCCAGTTCCTGCTACCTTTATGATGTCGTCGGTCCACCTTGTGGGTGGACGTGGTGTGGTGGATGTGGAATAACTTGTCGCTTAATCTATTAACCCCTCAGGACCTGTCTGTTAGTCGTGGCGCGCGACGTGGCAGCGCTGCAGCGCAAGCGCGATGTCGGTACTGGCAGCGCGGCGGTGCGGCGCGCCACGTATCAGCGCCATCTATTGAGTGACGCCTGCTACTAGTTTGTAGTGGCAAGCGTCCGTTAGTACCTGTTAGTCGTGACGCGCAACGTGGCGGCGCTGCAGCGCCAGCGCCAGGTCGTGCTGCAGCGCGGCGGTGCGGCGCGCCACGTCGGCCGGCACCACCGAGCGGAGCCCGTTCACTATGTCTTTGGTCTTGCCTGAAAAGTAAACACAAAATAATCTTAAGTTTTATCTAAACAACTGAAAAAATTGAACTGCCTAAGGCGGAAATCGAAGAAGCGACTCTAATCGCTAAGAAATTTTAATAATCTTTAGTTTGTTTTAGTCTTACAAAATCGTTTTCTTAACTATATAGTTCGAAGCCAACTACACGCAGCAGCACGTGTCGTCGTGACATATCGTCGGGTTTCTGTTTATTTGTGCGACACATGCTGGGTGCAAAACTGTATTTCGGTTGCCCAACCAATGCTCATAACATTAATTTTGAGGGAGTGCCTCCGCTGGCTACCGAATCAGCGGCCGGCGCTGGTAGCGGAGACACTCCCTCAAAATTCAATTTTACGCCGGGCCGCTGCACTGGTTCGGCAGCCGGCGCCAGTCGCTTATACGGTAACCGGCGCCGGTCGCTGATTCGGTTGCCGTCTACCGGCGGCATAATATATTTTATTTTTAGTTGTATGAAATACCTACGACACGACGCATCACTAGCAATGAAGGCTATTTCATAGGAATATAAAGTAACCAGAAGAGTCACGACGTCATGATAATATTCATAACATTACAATATTACTTTCAATAATATGTTACAGTTAGCATAACAAATATTAGACATCATTGTGTTGTAGCCACAATAAATAAACAGCTAACCATCAATATGAAACGGTAAGGATTATTGTGTTGATGATAATAAATTGTGTAGAAATGAAGCCACTCACCAAAATAAATGTCATTGAGTGTATTCCTAATCTTGTTCTCCATGTCTTCCACCATGCGGCCAATGTTTATTATGTGGGGGGTCACGTCACTGACCGCGGAGTCTTGCTCAGCCTGGAATATATTGTTGAAAGTAGTTATATTTGCCTTAATAAAATATAACCTACTGAATAAAATATTTTCATTTATTAATTAAATTCAAACACCTTTTCAAATTACATAAATAACTAGCAATTAGGTGGGTAGCTAGTGGTGGTGGAGAACACAAGTAAAGCTAAAAACTAAAACAAGTCAGAGTTAAATAATTCACTTTGCCCCAATTTAATTTTAGTGAAAGTAACAAAGAATAAATGAAATCCTTTCTTCATTCAGTTGTTTACATACATACTTAGTAATATTAAATTAATTGTTTCACAGTCTTGCTTCTGCATTAGCATAATATACATTTTAGAAATAATCCCTCAAAAAAAGAACACCACTACATTTTTTTCATGCTACAACAGGCTTTACAAGAACTTTCAGCATAGATTTTTTTTACTCATTTAAAACTTTCAGGCTGGGATTGATTTTAAACTGAGTGATGGTAAACTTAAATAAATAAGGTTCTTCAAAACTTAAAGGATTCCAAACGGGCTGTTGAAAAAAATAAATAAAAAAGTTACCTGTCTAGTAAGACTGCCTCCCAAGTTCATAGTTCCACTACCCTCCTTGTTCGTCTGCAGCCAGAGCATGGCGGTGGAAGTGAGCTTGTAGTGTGCGTTACGTCCTGAACTCTTCTCCACAACTTCCACCACGTGGATGGAGTCCCAGCAACCTTTGATCTTCTGGGAGCCATCGCCGGCCTTTTTAATCAGGATCACTCCTGAAAAATGTACCATGGAAATAGTAGTAAGTACAAAATTGTATACTTTTTTAAGAGCGCTTTCACATTAGGGCTTTAGTAGCGCAACTGTAGCGCGGCAGCGGCGTTTTTATAATGTGAAGGCATGCATCCCCTGTCACATAGTATGAAATTTTCGCGCGTTTGTCGTGGTGCTGAGTCGCCTAAATGTGAAAGTGCTCTAAATTCTTTATTGCTTGGTGTTGGTATACAAAGGTTCTTACATAGACCCATAACAGACCCATACTTGATGAGGAAAGAAGACAAAAATCCTTAGTTAATGCTAAATTACAATTTTAAATGTTTTTATTGGATGCAATTCAAATTAATTACATAAAACATTTGACCTAGTAAAACTATTAGCAACTGGAGCATTGCATAGCATATTATTTTTGGATAGCAACACTTGGGTCTATTTTGTAAACAGGAAGTATGAGATTGATATATTTAGCATCAAAATGTCCACAACTAACCTGCAAACCCATGATCCATGTCCCATAAGTACACTGAGCTCACCCCACCCTCGAAATACATTTCTCTATACTGATCAAATGCATAATTGGCCTCAATTTCTAATTTCCTCAACTTTTCGGATGGCATAGACCCATCCTCTAATGGCGGGTCGTAAGTGTTCGACCAAGGAGATCTGTACGAGTCTCCATCTCTGTTATAATCGCACAAAAGGTAGTCTTTGCCGTTGCTTCGGTCCTGCGCGATCTTCAAGGGCTGGTCCACTGATGATAGCAGATCCTCACACAAATTAGGCACGAGGTCTATTAAGTCCGTCAGATTCTTTTCGATCTGTTGGGGAGGCAGCCTCCGCATCAAGTCCAACGCACAATCCATTTGTTGTTCAGTCTGAAATTCAAAGAAACAGGTCGTAATCTACACAAACCAGATTATTAGTCATCCGTGCTGTGATGGCACTTTAGCAGTTCCAAACAAATGATATTAGCAAGAAGTATTATTACCATATTAGTTTCGATGGTATAGAATATGATAACAAAATGAAAATAACTGAAAACTTAATTTATTTTGAGAAAATAATTTCGATAAACTGTAAAGTGCAAACACCTAGATTTGACAGTTTTGACAACTGATTGCATTACGTCACCACAGATATCGGCTAGTATATGCGTTTGGTTTTGTCGAAAACACACATAATTTAGCTATAAAATAATAAAACTAATAATGATAACAAAATAAGTAGGTTTTCATATTTTTTCCAATATTCAATGCATTACAATAAATAACAGTGAAATATTTTAAGGGAAACAGCTGTCTACGTCAGTAGTTGCTGTAGGTTGGCATTTGTAGTTTGGTAGACGCCGGTACACTCGCACTCTTCACACCATCTCGAAAAGGCATAAGAAAGAAAGAGACAAAATCGTCGTCATTTGCATTTTTATTGTGTTGCGCTGTCTACTTCCTGCCAAACGTCAAGTTTTGTCACAGCAGTAATGTTTTGCTAAACTTTTGTTGATATTACTTTATTTCAGTTAGAGTTTACTGGTATTTACTTTACACTTTTATCAATGGGATTGTGATCTTAATTTACGGTTATTACGTGACTGTGCTTAAGTAAACATTCCAAAAGGTTTGTACTCCTTCGTCAAACATACAGTGATTCACGTTATGGGAATGTCTCTAGCAATATTAAACCGTAACACCCATTGTAGAGCCTAAATCAGGAAGCAAACTACTGGTAGCATGAGTTAAAGAGCTATTGAGTGATTACGAGGCTTTGTTTGAAGGTATAATTTTGCAGAGGTTATAACCAAGTTACTGAAACCATACAAAGTGCATAATGCATACAGTGCATTTACATAGAATACAGATTTGTCTTCCTTGAGGACATTGTAAATGTGATTTAAGAAGCCAGATTTAATTTGAAAACATCAATATTATGCCTACTGACTAAATCAAATAAAGTTTGTCTAGCCTCTAGCACCACTTATCATCTCTTGTAAGAGCGCTCTACTGAGTTTTAAAATATAGTTATTAAGTATATAAAATACTTTAGCGGTAGCTAAAACAAGTTTATTATACTTACAAGAGTTCATTGGCATTAATTTTAAACTTTTTATTTATGTAAGTTACAAAATATTTAATCATTTATTTTTCCATTTCAGAAACTCACCATTCCAATTACATTCCATTCAAAATAAGTTCTAAAAATTGTCATGATGCCGACTCAGTTGGTGAACCAGGACAATCACGCAAATGACATCCGCGTCAAAACAGTGTACAGCGGAGATGTGATGATTACGTACATCAATCATAACATATCGCTGGAGGAGTTTACGCAGGAGATGGTGGCTATATGCCGGTTCCTGCCGGATCAGGTTAGTTTTGAATTTAATTTCTATTTCTATTTACGCTACAGTTTTGCTTGGGAATGTATGGTTCGGTTTAGTTTAGCTGCAATATGAAGTCCATAAACTAGGCATAACAGTAAAACAATGGGGAATCTATCATGGATCTAGACATCTTGTCAGTAAACAAGAACTTTGAAGGAGAGTTTTAGTAAAAAACACTTAGGCTATTGTTTGATTATTTTTGTCTCAGTTTTTGTATTCATTTTTAAATAAGATTATAATAGGTTGATATATCATGCTCTAAGTATGTCAATAAGCAATGAAGGGGAATAATTAAAAATTTGAAAATCAAATTAGAATCTATGAAGATAAATTTTGGGAAGAGTTATCTCTTCTCTATCTATTAATTTTTTCAACTTCTCTATCTACATTGATTCTAAGGGATATTCCTAAATGCAGAAACAATAATTATCATATTATTTTTATCAGGTAAATAAAAATGCACTGTTTCATTTAAATTAATCTCAAATAAACATTTATTTTCAGGTGTTTACCATGAAGTGGGTGGACGAAGAAGGTGACCCGTGCACGATATCCACACAGCTGGAGCTGGACGAGGCCCTGCGGCTGTATGAGCTGAATCGGGACTCCGAGCTGACTGTTCACGGTAAGTACCTTTTTGTTTAAACTGGTTAGAGCGTACACAAAGCTCCCAGAGCATTCATGAGCTCAAAATTTTAACATAAGAAGAAAAATTCGTGAAGGCAGTTAATCATTATACAGTATTGGTGTAGTGGTTGAGTTGTCTCATTTTATTTTTAATATGGAGGTGGAGGGTTATGCCAAAATGGCCTTTAGTGTAATATAAACATCAATTTGATTAGTTAACAAGCAATGATCTGTTACTCTGCTGCTTTTGGCGGCAAGTAAAGTAATAAAAACGCATTTTAAAGCAGGTAAGTAGGTCTATGCTGATGGAACTAGCCACCCTCTGTCAATCGGAAATCGACTAAGAAATCGACAATGAAACCCTTAGGATATTGTCGATACGTGTTATTTATATTCCTTTTATAGTCATTACTTCAAGTAAATCGATTATGTCACTCACATTGTATTGGACGTTTAAGCACCTTATTTTGTAATGAAACCAATGAATTATCAGTATTCTCATGTAACTCGCACGAGTAACTCCGATCATAACATTCGCACGCCAACAACCTTGGAGTTATTTATTCGTATCACAATATTAAGAATTTAAGATAGTAAGATTGAAGTTATTAATTTGAATGGACCAAAGTGTTGCTTACAGTTCACGTCAACAGAAATTGGCAGATTTTATGAATACAGGATGATAAGCATCCTTAGGCCCGGTGTCCACCAAAGCGGAACGGAGCAGAAAAATGTACTGAATAACCCATCAGATTTCATTATTTCCACTTCACTCCCCGCCGCGCCGCCGCCGCTGTCAAATTCTATAGAAAAAATTGTCCGCTCAACACTTCTCCGCTCTGGTCTGCTCCGCTCCGCCTTGGTGGAAACGAGCCTTACACGTCATGTGATATTAGTTCAGTTTGTAATCAAGTTAGGTTTACAGCTCGGTGTCATTATTTACGGCTTTTTATTTTTATTGAAAATGTGTCAGTTTCCATGGGGCGTGGACTATATGTATTTATTACAGTACATAATATGGCTAAGTGCTTATTGTCCATGCATTATTGTCTAATGGCCTCGCCCCACTTCTTTTCATCTCATGAAGCCCTAATATGTGCATAATTATGTAAAAGTCTTATATAACCGTACACGGCTTGCGGTCAGATTGTGGCGGTTTAAAAAACCGCAAATTAGTTGTGAATAGACTTTTTTAAACTTATTTTTTTCTCGTAAGTGTGATGTAATAAAAGTCGTATAGTTTTTTTTAAATATTATATTTTGTATTTATTTACAAAGTAGCAATAATCTCGTTAACCCCTCGTGGTAAGCTAAATAATGCTTGTATCACGAGTGGGTTCACCAATAGTCAAGTTTGATCCCGCGTTCCTCGGAGTCGGCCATTCCGAATCCGAGACCATTGGGCTGGTTGTAGTTTAATTAAATAAAAAAAATTGAAAACATAAAAAAACTCATGAAAAAAATCGAGCGGTCGGGGGCCAGTTTTTTAATATTTTTTCACACTAGGTGGGTCGTGTCATGAAAAAGGTTGAAAAACACTGATGTAGGGTATTATTTGGTTGCTAAGCTAACAATTTGTTTGTAAGTGTTATTGTAATGCAATGCGATTTCAATTATGATTGATTTCCAGTTGTTAGCGCTCGCACATGTCACCATATAAACGCAATTGATTTAAAGCAATAGGGAATTGAAACAATCATTGTGCTTGCAAGTCATTCTGTTTGTATCTATTATGTCACGCAAACACGACATAGGCTCTGTTGAGTTCAGAGCCATAAAGAATCATAACTTTTTTATAAATAACTAGCTGACCCGGCGAACTTTGTTCCGCCTTAATGGCAATAAATAAGCAGACTTTTTTTTGTTTCGAACGGGATAAAAAGTATCCTATGTCCTTCTCCTTGCTCTAAACTACCTCCCTGACAATTTTCAGCTAAATCAGTTCAGCCGTTCTTGAGTTATAAGCGAAGTAACTAACACGACTTTCTTTTATATATATAGATAATGCAATCGTATTATTATCGTAGTATTGCACAAATTATTAATAGTCCCGTTAACCACTCGTGCTAAGCTAAGTATGCGTTTTACGAGTGCCCTAATTATTATTTTTCAAATAAAGATTGAGTTCTGACAAAACGCTACCTAACTAAAGAGATAGATTGATGGTTACTTCTAAGTTCTGATATCTTCTCGGAAACCAGGTGTTGTCATTTATCTGACCGATAAGTTCCTGATAGATTAGCGGAGACTCAAGAAAGAAGACTCAATTAATTTGCACCAATGCAATGGCTGGATCAAAGTTTAAATCGAGTTTTGAAGGTTTATAAGAATGAATCTAAGGTCTCATGAGTTTTGTATTAAATAAATAAAGGCGGGTTTTTTTACTGTCACATAGGACGTTACAAAGATTAATTTTTCGATGTTCAATTACCTATAACTAACCACTTATTATTTCCCTAATCTATCTTACCTTAATTTTGAAATTACTATACAATTTGTTTCTTTTCCAGTTCCAAAGTTCCCGCCCTGAAAAATCCTTCCCAAACCCGAATCCCTCTCCCGAAGATATCCAGTAGCCTGAAGATCCTTAATATTCAAAAGTGATATTATTTACAAGTGCTCAAGACTTTCACTTTCAGCTCACGTAGCAGCTTTATTTGATAAACTTTTGGCTGCGTACAAGTTTACGAAAGATAGCATAAGGCATAACTGAGACTGGTTTCTTTCTATAGTATAGACAAGTTACCACTCCATTACTATAGAAAGAAACCTGTCTCAGTTAAGATCGTTTCATCCACGAAGACGCGCCACTCCATTCTTCCGCTAATGTTTTAGTGTTGTCGGTACACGCTAAATGTATCCATGAGTGCATACGCAGTCACGCACACTACAATAATGACGCTCGGATTGCTCGGATCAAACTCCCCGCACCGAGCGCTTCCCTCGACCAAACATTGGTGGGGCGCGTCTTCGTGGATGAAACGATCTATAACTGAAACATTCTTTCTATAATAATGGAATGGTATTAACTTGTGTCGTAACAGAGCTGTCACGGCATACATATCTGAAGCACTTCAGATTCTGAAGCCCCGGTGACGTTTTGACGTAACAAATAAACCCTTCCGCATCGGGCCACTACTGCAGGAACTTACTTAACTTAGTCCCTAAGGTTATTTATGAAATTGACATTGACATATTATGCCGTGACAGAGAGCATACACATCTGAAGTCTCGCTGATGTTTGACGTCTCAAAAACACCTTTCCGTGCTCCCATACCTTAGGCACTGACTGTGTTAAACCACAGAATAATAATAAGTACTACGTACAGAAGTTTTACTTCGCGAAGGTATTTAAAAAAATGTATGCTCAATGTCATTAACAATATGGTGTAATTTAGCCTGTCTCAAGATTCAAGCACCATTTTGTTGACAAACGTCAGTGATCGGCACTGCGCCGAAGCTATAGGGCTGACTTCGGTAAAATGATGTGACGTGAGGTGCCAAACTGCGGAAAATGGCGGAGGAAATACATGATTTAGCATGATTTATCATGAATAATATTAACTACTTATTTACCTCTCAGTGTCTTGAGGCAACTTAAAAAAGTACATTCTGTGTTTTTATTATTATTTAAGCAGTTAAATACTGCACAGTATTTAGTACACCATTTTCTTTATTTTCTTCCATTATACACAAGAATACGCGTGCGTGAGTCAATGTTCGCTCGTATGTGAGGCCTTGTCGAATAGTATCCTGTAGGTGGGCCATCGTGCGTGTTTTGTTTTCAATGTAAACTCGCGGAGATGAACAGGCCTGGTTAAACGACCTATAATCAGAATATTGACAAGTTGCGAATACTTTCATACCGACTACTTAAAAGTTGATTGCAAAAAAACGATCAATTACAACACAACCTTCGTGTTACATGGTCAATTAGTATTCACACTTAAAATTTATTGTATTGTAATTATGTAAATGCACGATTAACACAATTTGTTTTGAACCGTCACTGGTGAACCGCAAATGCATTCACTTTTCGTTTCATATTCGTTACGTGATTTAATACCTGGATTAAAACGCCGCATTAATATTCTGTGTGAAACGATAGTGTTTTGTTGAAATTGTGTTTAATTAATTGATTTTGACATGTTAACTGGCAATTCTTTTATGTTGGCTTAGCTAACATGTTAGGTTTGCGTTTGTTGTAAAAATATCTGTTTATTTTAATTAAACCCTTGTGAATAAAGTACTAAAGTATTTTTTCAACAGGCCACAAATTCAATCCATATCTTATTACATAAAATATGGTTATTGGTGCTTTTGCATTAGTAATTTTAATCTTATAGTGACTTTTCACTGAGAAAAATTGCTTTTAAACATACTAATACACTACGTATAAATGTTTACTTGAAACACTTTCCTAGACAAAAAGTAAACAAAACGTTTATAAAATTGGCGCCCACCGCGTGGTAATCAAGTATTATAAAGTACGTTAAATTATAAAATCTAAAATCTGTAGTTGTGTAAGCTATTATTCACAACAACAAAGAGGAAATCCTCACATAGAGAAGTGAAATAAACGTTAAACAACGAAATCTTAACCGCCATTGACAAAACGGGTCTACACACGTCGAACAAACAACGATAATCCCATTCGCGCGCGGGCCACGTATTCAATTAACAAAATAGGACCCCGAATTGCCGTTCATAACGCTGCAAAGTTAATTAAAATATCCCTAATTGCGCAGCGACACAGCACGAGCAAACTCAGCCCCAATGTTTGTACTTTATTAGAACAAGTTTGTTCCTGTTTGCATACAAGTTTGGCCGCTCCCGTTTTATTTACCCTACGTGGGCCAACTTGCACGGACGCCCCACTAAATCCCCGTATAGAACTTGCGATGCCGTTCCGCAAACATGATGGGCGCAAGTTTGTACCAATGAAGCTATTGCTGGAACGTTTAGCGTTGGGTTGTTTGGAAATAGACGAAAATTGTTGATTGTAGTTAATCTTTTGTTGGAGGTAATTTCTGAGATTGAGAGTAGTCCACCTGTGACTTTTGTTTAATGTAATCTTAAATATATCAATAGCCTTTTTATTACCTGTAATATTACAGAGTTTCATTAAAATGCACTCAGTTGTTTTGCCTGAAAAAAAAATGAAACGCATTCTGAGCGTTTATAATATTAGTCATATCATAATGTGCTAGTTCTTAAAATTGTAATATTTGCTTCATGTTTTATTAAACTGATATTTACCGGTCATAGTTTACTATTTGTAACGTATCATTTAAAAATCACCGCCAAAAACGGAAACGGAAAATACGAACCGCCGATCTGAATATGGAAATGGCTGCCGGATTCGCAATGCGGGTAGATAAGGTTTTTACGGCGGGAGTGTACGAGTACACCCGCCGCACGGGCGAGCAGGGAGAGCATATGCAAAAATGGCCGCCGATAAGTGAAGCCTGAATACATGTGTCATCGGAAAAGTGCTGATAAACGAACCTCCTCCGTTCTGCAATCGGGTGACAGGACGGCAACAGTCGCGGATAAATAATTTATTTGCGAATAAATTATTCATTTATGGTAATCTCTGATACGCCGACACCGACATGATCCGAATTTGGAGTTTTACTACGACTTGGCTGATGGATTTTAAGATAGGCACTTGGTTGGTAGTATTAGGTAACTCTTGAGAAATTTTGAGAAGTCTCCTAACATTTTTGGAGGGAGGTAGGTAATATCCAAACATCGACCGGCGTCATTTTGAAAATTGGTTTGGTATCTATACTTAAAATAATAAATGTAATTAATAACCTAACCAGTAAACGATGAGAACAGATCGTAAATTGATTGAAAAATATACTGCTGCGCTGTTCACGCTCCGTGATTTCTTTTACCAAAGCCCATTTGAAGCGAAATAACAAGCTTCGCGCTAAAAACGTTTCGGTTTTCCTACGCGAGAAGAGAAGTCACAGGCGTTGCGTTTCACTTAACTAATTAACGGTTACTTTTCCACATTATTCAACTTGTTCTACGACGAGTGGAGGAAACCGAATGACTTAATGACATTAGATGATTGCTAACTACATGTCTAGTTAAAATTTTACTGCACTTTTCCTTGAGAAATCGAATTCCGGTTCAAGTGATGGAAATTATTATATCCAAAAGTTCAAATCTCTAAAGAATGATCCAGCTTGAAACATTATAGAAACATTCTATCATAAAAGTTTTTTTAATGACTGTTCCTCATAAAATAATTACTCCTGAAAACCATAATGACGTCATAAATATTAAAACGCCCAGAACACAATCACTTTCCCAAAATATTGGCAGGCACATGAGCAAATACGTATCATGCGCATAAATTCTACGTACCAGCAACATCGCGCCATCAAGGATTCGGTAAGACGATGGAAATATGAATTTAATATGGCGCTGGATGGAAAGTGGCGCGAAATTGCCAGGCCACATTAATTAGGCAGGCTAATCCGTCACGTGACCTACCTAACGCGAGTTCAGCTAAGAATATGATAAATTCGCGTAAATGTGAACCTGAAATTAAAAATTACAGGCTTGGTGGTATAAGTGGTATAGCCTGACCAGGAACATAAAAACCCTGGCATAGTGGCGCGTCAATTGCATTTGATAGTGCAACACTGAGTACAGTCGTACCTGTGTTAAATTAATAGGCTAACTTTATGTATCAGGATTCAGGATTACGGGCTAATTTGATATTTTCATAAATTAACGAAAACATATCATTATAGGTAACCTAGTTTAAATAAATTAAATGAAACCATCAATCGAGCTAGTAGGATTTATTTTATTATTCATCAATAATAAAACTCAGAACTTGAATATTCAACTGCAATGTCTGCTAAGGACGCTTCAAACTCTGTACTTCTTTCCCAATTCCATAAAATTCAACACTTAAAAAGTGACAAAAAACTTTAAAATAGGTAGTTGAAACAAACCACAGCTAATTTTCATAGTGGACTGTACTATACGATAAACATGTCAGTCAATTTGACAACCTTTGTCGGAAACATTATTCAATGAAAATATTGTCCGAACCCTTAGTATTTCTCTTCGACAAATAATTTAACACATTGTGAACCACTTTTCTTTCACGACTATAAAAATATTTTAGCAATTTAATTCACGAAATCAATTGCGCACATTTAAAATAAAGTTTGTTTATACTTTGACAGCAATAGACTGACATTCAAGGTGACATGTCAATGAAGTTTTCAGTTACTGTTGCCATTAAAAGAAATTAGTACCATTAGTTTTCCGCAACATGGCGAGGGTTTTTATGTTCCTGGTCAGGCTATAACATAATTTTTAAGTTCATAACGAGTATGTTTTTTTGTAGGCGAAAAATAGTTTCAGATATTGTCTATCGTATGTGAACAATTTGCCAAAATCTGATAAACGGATTTTGTTACTGATTTTTGACCCAAAAGACGAATCAACTCGATTTTATGTATAGTTTCAGATTACGAGCTGTTTACATCGTAATGT